ATGAATGTGTTTGAGACGGTGAGGTTGGCACAGGATAGAACAGCGTTTAGGGCTCTTGTACATAGGGTCGCTATGAGTCGCAAACGACTTGATGGCACATAACAACAACAACAATGTCCTCCAGGGTCACCCATTTTGAGTAATATTGCATGAGTTCCTTATTTTTCAATGCAGCGTAGTAAGTGGTGCATTATATATTTTTACCTAAAGTTTAAAGTTTAAAAAAAAGTTTAGTCTGTTTTGCCTACTTGGTCCCCAATGAGTGATACAGACCTTGTATAGAGTAAACACACCCAAAATATGTGTTGACCCCTAGATTCCTTCAAACCTGGAAATGAACCCACTTCCAGGATCACACTTCAGCCAAACAGGAGATCAAAACTGTGAACTATTGTGAGGAATGTAAACAACAATCATATGAGGCTGTCAAGACAACATTGCCCCTTTCCCATAAGAAGGTCAGAAAACAGATCGAAGGGGCAGGACCGATGGGCTAATGAGATACCCAGGGAGAAAGTGGGCAGTGCTGCAGACAGTGAGGGGATTATAACTAATGTCATAAAATGAAATGTGTATAAATTGTGGAGTGAGAAACCAATCTTTTTCCATGAAACTGTATAAAAAGTTGAGAGAAAATATTTGTTTAATAAATGAATGAGCAAATAAGTGTATGATGAATGAAAAGAGTTACTTGTTTGGTGCTTGTAATAATGATGAATAAGAATGAGATCACAGATGTGATTAAATCTATCCCCTAACCAAATGAGTTAGCCTAATTAATGTTTTGAAGAACCGTACATCCCGCTGTATACAAGTACTTGTATGTCTGTAGAGTTTATACTGTTAGCTGCTGTCGATGTGACAAACTTCACACAATAGAAACACTGGCTGGCCTCATGGAGTTCCCACATCTGTCTGCAAAAGCATCTGTCTTTGTGTGACTGCAAAGATTTGTGTGTGTTTGTGTGTTAACATACTGAAGAGACGCAATATATGCAAAATCACTCAGGAAGGCAGTTTCTAAGTCGTTACTTTTTATTTTGAAAGATTGTCAAACTCATTGCCTCATGGCAATAGTTTGCACGATTAATAAGAAGCAGCTTTTTCATGAAATGCTTGGAGGTGAACGAGTTCTCAGCCTGTGAGATCCGACCATCTCATTGACTTTGAAGGTTTCTCTTGATTAATAGAGGAGGGAAAGGAGGAAAGAGGTGGGGTAATAGGAATATGCTAGAAACCAAATAGGAAGGAAAGAAAATACAACAAAACACAACTTCATGACAGTCACCCAAATGTGAAAGAAAAAGTCACCAGCTCTACTGTTTCACAACATTCTATGACTTGCTCTTGATTTTGGTCTTCCTGGCTGAAACAGTCACAGCCCCCAGAGCCCCCAGAAGAAGCCTGCATTCCCCAGGATAGGAGAAGAGAAGCCTAGTAGAAGGTGGAAGTGCATCCCCAGGACCTTGCTGATGGTCTACAGCTCCCAAAGTTGGAAAGAGGGATATAATGTAAAAAGAAACTGCACTGAAAGGTAAAAGAAAATGATGACAAACTGGGTCAATGTGAGAGTTTATGTACTTGCATAACTTGGCCCAGATTCTCTCTCTCTGGTGCAGGTCCAAGGCTTGCTCTCTGAGGTTCTGGCTGGTGGGTTCTGCAGGGATTCCTCCATCACAGGTCTTCTAGTCCCAGAAACATCCTTGCCAATATCACATGTCCATTATTTCTCTTTGTCCACCACCTCTGGGCTGTCTGGGAAAGATCCCTCAAGCAACCACTACCCTCAATTAAAATTACCACTAATTCTGACTTGGTATTCATTTCAAACAGAGAAAGAGGTTTTGAAGAAGCAGTGTGTGTTTAAGGCAGACTCAAGCAGACCAAAGTTTCTACCCATAAGCCAGCAAGAACATGGGCAAGGCTGCAGAAGGCAGAAGAAAAAGGGGGTCATTAGTGGGTGAGCAACAGGCCTTGAGAGTCAAGTTACAACTATAAATGTCATGACTTGGGTTACAATTTCAATTTTTAGCACCGTTAATATATTCATTTAAATCTATATTAGCACCTTGTCCCCAGGCAGAACCACAAACCATCCAAACATTTTAAACATTGAGGGAAATAGGAAGAGGAAGGTCAAAAAGAAAATCCAGGAACTGCTGGAGGAGGTGTACGTTTAGATGACAAGATCCTTCTCGATATCCTCTGTAAAGCAAGGAAAGAGAGTAGCATTGAGGATGAGGCCTTGTGTTATGAAAGACATACTTTCTGGGGATTCCATGGGTCTCCAACCACCCCCAAGAACAGGGCCAAGTGGTTAGTCCAAGGTCACACAGGAAGCCAGTCTGGTCTCCCTGGCTCTGGCACATCCACATCTCTTATGCTGCCAAGTTACACTTCCTGTTTCCTTTTCCATGTCTGCTATGTCTAGTTCTCAAAATAGGACTTGGCACAAAATAAACACTAATGCTTAAGGAAGGGAAAAAGCAAGAGACAGATGAACAGAGAAAGATCAGAAAGATGGTCCGAGAGAGTGAGACCCACTCAAACAGTGAGGGAAGACAGAAGTCAAATAGGCAGAGTGTACAGATCGGCAGAGAAAGGACAGAGGGCAGAGATGGAGAGGTGCAGACACACAGAAGAGACAGGAAAATAAAAGATGGGTGCAGACAGAGAGAGTGGAGAGAGAGGGAGGCAGGGGGCAGTCTGCCATGGGAGCAGAGCTCAGTGGTCAAGGCAGAGAGGCCCTGACCATGGCCTTGGGGTCACTCGGACCCTTCTCTGAGACACTCACGCTCCTTGATGCCGAAGCAACCGGCCCACTCTTCCAGGGCAATGTACTTGTCATTGTCCAGGTCACAGGTCTCAAAGAAGCGGGTGGTGCAGTGTTCCATGGGGATGAGGGGAGCACGCAGTGGGGCCAGCTCGGTGTGGGACAGGTACCTGCAGGAGAGAGGCAAAGAGGAGGATGCTCAGTGCAGAGGGAGGAGTGGGCCCCTCACCTCCCTGCAGGCCTTGGATTCCAGAGCATGTTTCATTTTTTTCCCCTCCTTGTTCTCCAGAGCTCCCAAATAGTTGTTTTCCAAACACTCGTCCCCAAGGAGCTCCACGGAACAGTATGACCCCAATTCCCCCTCTAACCTCCAAACTCCCAGCCCTACCCACACAACGGGAGGGAGTGTACAATGTTTGAGCTGGAAGGATGGCCTTCACTCACTGCACTGGTGTGGAAACTGACTCTGCCACTCTCGGGCCTGCTGTGTGACTTAGAGCACAGCGGTGCCCCACTCTGAGCTTCCATTTCCCCAGGCATCAAATAGGTGGGAGAAGTGGTCACCGTTTCTAAAGGTCCTTCACGTTTTGAAGCCACATGGGCTCAACAGCAAAATCTGCTGCTGCATTTGTGTTTCTTAATTGTCTGGGAGTTGGGGTGGCAGAGAAATTTAAAGATATTAAACTTTTCTCAAATTCGAAACAATTGTATGTTTGCTCTGGGCTTACATTTATACAGCTATACTTGCCTAGAAAAGGGCCTCGAAAAATAAGCACTCCACAGTGCTAATGTCCAGGAAGGAGCGTGGGAAGGAACTGGGATTGGCCTTGACAGTCAAAAGGAACTCTATTCTTTTCCACAGAGCTTGTACTTCTTTTTCTGCTATCATTTAACTATTAAAAGGGAAGCCCTTCTGCTTTTTCTCCCACTGCATCAACCCCTCACCTCCCTGCAGGCCTTGGATTCCAGAGCACATGTTTCATTTTTTCCCCTCCTTGCTCTCCAGAGCTCCCAAATAGTTGTTTTCCAAAACACTCTTCCCCAAGAACAATATGACCCAATTCCCCCCTCTAACCTCCAAACTCGCAGCCCCACCCAAACAACAGGAGGCGGTGTGCAATATTTGAGCTAGGATGGTCTTCACTCACTGCACTGGTGGGGAAACTGAGGCCCAGGCTGGCCTAAGGACTCCAGCAAGACCAGATAGCAGCTCCAGGACAAGAATTAGAGGAACAGGGATCCCCTTGCCTGGGGCTGGAACACATTCCTCACAGCCCATCTGGAAACTTCTCTCCAGCCCCTTTGCTAGAGTGGGACCCAGTTGTTCAGCTGAGCTCCAGATGTTCCCCCGTGACTGCACAGTGAGTGACTCAGCTGGATCCCAGCCATGGAGGCAGCCTGGGAGAGAAGCAGCTGGGAGTTTCCCAGAGCCCAGTAGACCCTGGACACCCAGGATTGCTGTCAGTGTAGACAGGCAGCTTCCACATGGGCTGAGCAAAGAGCAAGGGGTAAGCACCCAGAGAGGAGCGTCCCTGCTTCCAGCCTCACTCCCCATGCCTGTGAACAGGGCCACTGCTCCGCTCTCCACTCTCTTCAGGACACATAGCAAAAGAAGCTAGAGGGGTGAGAGTGGTGGGCCTCTGCAAGCCACCATGAGCACCTTCCTAAGGGCTTTATGGCTAGATTGTCACATACAGTGTGAGCTCCATGGGACCAAGACCCTCTCTGTTGTGATTCTTGTTAAAACACCGATTAAATAATGCTGAGCATTTGTTTGGGGAGCACTGTGGTTATGAAAATGATGGTGGAAAGAACTGGAAAACTATAAGGTTAATAGTTACATAGCTTAGGGAATGGGAATGGAATCAATGTTACTGAATTGTCCGTGTGGACATCATTGTTTTGTTACCTTCCAGGTCAGGCATTAAGATAAGATTCAGACATTGCAAACGTCTAGCCTTTGTCACCCATTAGTCTGGCATTTCTTCCTAACTTACTTTCCCCCAACCGACATCCAGGCCCCAGAACTCTCAGAGGGATTTCCGGTTCATTCTGACTTCCGCTTCCTGTAGCACAATGAATGAGTGTCTTATCAAATTCCTCCACAGAAATCTCCATCTGCTCTCCAGATGCCTGTTTCTTTCTGCCCCAACTCTAGACAAACTGCAAGATTCAGGGCGAGGAGCAACAGAGGCTATTGAAAAGCTACTGACTCATACCTAGCTCAGCAACCAGAGCTGTGTCCTGGCAGTCCATTCCAGGGCCACGTCGGAGCCGACCCTGTCTGTGGTCATGGAGGGTCTTGGTCTTACCCGTCAATGGGATGTTGGTCCAGCTGGCCAAACTGCCAGCGCACGGGGAAGATGTACATGTTGTAATTCTTCTCGAAGTCCCGAGCCAGCAGCTCCACAGGGTGGTCCCCAGCCTCCAGGCGCCTCTCGTTCTCATAGATCTTCTTCACCTGTGGTAGCAGAGGGTGGTGTGCTAAAGGGTCCTGGGGAGACCATGCCAGCCTGCCAGGGCTCCTCCCTCCTGGGGCGGAAGCCAGAGCAGGTAAAATTCAGTCAAGACAGGGCTCAAGAGGAAGATGGAGGAAGAGGAAGCGGAGATGGGTATCAGCATCTCATTCCCAAAAGTGAAGGCCTGGGATGAGCTGGGTGAAGTACACCTTAGAATTTGTGAAGAGAAATTCTACAGTGCGCTTGTCAAATGTAGTTAGTTGCTATTATGGATAACAAAATAAAACAGTGTCCTTCCCTGTGCTATCTCCATGGCTTTTGATATGTTTGAGCCCACTCTGATAACTACTACAGCAACCCTTTTTGAAGGGGTCCCTGTTGTTGTTGCTGTATGCTGTCAAGTCGGACCCCACCTAGAGCTGACCCTCCAGTGGGTTTTCTGAGGCAGTTAATGGCAAGGGAGGAGATTACCCATTCTTCACGTGTGCTACAATGCAGCTTCATAGAGATAGATGCGCTAGCCTGGAGCGGGGCCTAGAAACCCACAATTTATCAGAACTTCCAGTGATAGGTCCACTGAAGTTTACAAATCACTGCCTCAGAGTTTAGAAACAAAGAAGAAGTAAGGTTATTTGTGTCTTTTTAGTTAATAAGAGGCTCATATGTTCTGCGAGTCTCCAGGCGCGGTAAGAATGAAGACCCAATGCCGTAAGGATACAAGGAGGTGGTGGTGGGTGAGGGGAGGGTCTGGTTTTAGAAACTGTGGAACTTAGTCATTCCAAGGCCAAACAGCAGATTAGCTCAAGGCCTTGCCGGCTCCCTCAAGGGCCCAGGAAGATACCACTTACTTTCAGCTTCTGTTTCTCAGTCAGAAGGTTGTTGTCCTCATCTCTCTCGTACAGGGTGACCAGAACGTTCTTAAGCCAGTCACGCATGCGCAGGGGGAATTCAGTCAGTTCGGAGTCCAGGCATGGGGGAATGTCTAGGATTCAAAACATTAGTGGTCAGCACAGACCTGACCCTTTCTGCTTGAGGGCCCACATGATGCATGGAGTGGCCTCTCCCTACACCTGCCCTTCTCTTTAAGCTACTCTCTAGCCATGACTTTTACAAAGTGGCCATTTAAACAAAGGAAGTTACAAAGCTAAGGACCTGCTGAAATGGAAAAGTGCAAGTGTGTCTACTGCTCCCTTGACCTTGGTCTGGTCTCCAGAGGGAATTAGTTCCTTCTAAGTCAGCTGCTCTGCAACTGTTGGAGCCTTCACTTTTGGGTGATGGATTCCAGGTGACATTATCACAGAAGCCAAAAGGCCTCATGCTGCTGAAGCCAACCACTGGGAGGTGTTTGATGCCGGGAAGCTGAGAAATAAACTCTCTTTATGGACTCAATTCAACCGCTGATCAAATGCAAGATAAAGGCTTCATCACTGGAATTTCCTTAGAGCTGATTCCTTCCATCCCACTCTTTGGAACGAAGAATCCCACATTGGCAGGGCCAGAAGTTCATCTGAGTGCACCTCTTTTATTGGACGAAGGTCAGTGTGGAGGAAGGCGTGCTTAAGATCATATAACAGAGCCTCATCCAGCTACGGCAGATGGTTCCCTGGGGGCTCTGGAGTCCACTCTTCCCTCATTTGGGAACCATAACAAGCCTTTCTGTGGGATCAGATCACTGCATTCTTTACCTCCCACTGGGAAGTGGAAGAGAATGTCTATGACGTAAACACTAGAAGTTGAGGTGAGTGGACACAATGTACACAAAGGAAAACAAAATTCCCTTGGAAACTTCTCAGTCTCACTGCCCAAGAGCTTCCCACCAATACCTCCTCGGCCTGCGCTCTTCCAGGTGCTAATGTTCTCATTTCACGTCCTCAGCCTCACAACTGAACGGCTGACCACAGAACTGTTTTCCTCTTCGCTCATCTGCACCCTGCACACCTGTGCTAGGTGAGTGGCTCTCGCTAATGCCATCTGGGGCCAGAATGCGTCACACATCCAATGTGTATGTTGTCTCAGATATCAGGTAGCGAGGCCACCAGCACCAAATGGAGTACCTGGGTTAGTGAATCTGCAGTTGGGATCCCTAATAAAAAGCTAGACAACACCCTGGGAGTCCTTCCCCCAAACACCCGACTTCCATATTTCAGAAGGTGACTGATCATGTCTTATGATGACATACAGGAGCATAATAATATGCTATCACATCAATTCTGACTCATAGCAACCTATAGGATGGAATAGAATTACTCCGTCTGATTTCCAAGGCAGTAACCTTGCAGATGCAGAGACGAGATATATATAGATATATATAATAGATATATATAATATATAATATATATATATTTTTCCTGTAGAGCAGGTGGTGCATTCAAACTATTAACCTTTTGCCTAGCAGCCCAACACTTTAATAATTTTAATCAAGGCCCCTTCAATAGGAAAGTAGTAAAGCTAATTGGAGATAAGTCAATACTGAGTAACTGGGCCTAAAAGAAATCAAATAAGTGTGTCTCTGTTTTAAAAACACTGAAGGTCCAGGTAGGACATCATGTTTGCTCTACCTGTTTGGGAGCAGAAAAGATTTGTGTTAGTCCCACATTCTCATTAGAGAAAGGAATGCAGTTATCTAAAGAAGCTAGATAACAGCTCCAAAATTCCTCCCGGATCTTCCAAAATCAACTCTTCCTAAGAAAATGTCGTAAACCGGTGGCTAAGGAAAAGCTATTCCTTGGTAATCACCTCATTTTATAAACAAGAACGCCAGGACTCAGACAAAAGAATTGATTTTCTCAGGGCCACACAAAGCCAGCATCAGTGCATCTTCCTTGATGGGAAAGGCCGAAGGAAAGACTCACATTTGCAAGGTCCGATGTAGTCCAGGTGGAGTTTGTGACCCTTCTTGGTGCCTTCCAGGGTGCATTTTGTGGCAAAGAAGTGGCAGGAAGAGTCAAAAGTCTTGTTGTCATTGCTGCACACCTGTTGACAGAGCACAGTACACCTCGTCCTTCATTCCCAAAGCCCTCGGCTGGTGTGGTCATTTGTACCCATTTTAGAGGTGACAACAATGAGGGCAAAGAATGTAATTAGCTAAAGTCACACAACGACTTAGTGTGTGGGCAAAACACCCACTTTTGGGAGTTCTAATCAATGCTGAGCCCACGTTGAAAGCTGTAACTCTGTGCAGAGGCACGACTCGGGGCTGAGATATGTAAGGACATACCTGGAAGGTCCTGACATTAGGAATGGGCAAAAAATACATCACATTGGAGACTCCTATCCTACTTGTAACACTGACCCTTGGCTGGCATGTGCGAATTTGATTGATAAATCGTTTCCTGTTTCCTATGCTGTTTTTAAATTTCCCCTAAGTAGTAAAGAGGGATCATTATGAGTCAGATCTGATGCTACCTCAGTAGTCATGGCACTGATGTTGGATAACGGGCTTGCAAACTGGACATGCTGATAAACTATCTGAGCTGTTGTACATAGGGTTGCTATGAGTCGCAGGCTACTTGGTGGTAAGAAGTTACTAGTAAGTAGAAATTCACTTCTTATCACTACATCCTTGCCGTGGCTATCTAGAAAGCGGATTTGTGGGACTGAAGCTGCTTAGTGGAACCATCATGCCAAGAGCTTTCTGGGGAGACACTGTGTAATGAAGGGTCTAGTCTCCTAACCACTATACCTCAGTCCTTACCTTTTCAAACTCGCCAACGGGAGCAGGGCAGGTGGTGGGGTCCTGGCACACGCACATGGGGGTGTTGTTCTCATCCAGCTCACACACCTTGCCGTGTTTGCAGTGGTGGTTCTGGCAGGGATCTGGTAGGTGCAAAGACCCAAGAGTTAGCACCCCTTGAGCAACCACCAACCCAGTCAAGACCAACCGGGCTGTGGCCCCTACTCTGGACTCTAGGCAGCCCTGAGTCCTCCCTGCTTTCCTGTTGAGCATCGTCAGTAGCATCTAGGAGCCAGTTGGCTTTGCGTGGAGGCTAGTTTAGTCTGAGGTCAGTCAGATACTGATTTTGAGGGTGAAGGCTCTGTCTGGGACCCAGAAACACCAGGTGCCCTGTGGCTACCATCAAGTCGGAAGCAACCTTTGTGTTTCCAGCTCTCAGCTGATCAATCATTTAAAGAAACCAGTTGTCAAATCAAGTCCAGTTGATGATGATCAGATCCCCATGTGTGTCAGAATGGACTTGAGACTTCTTCCAAGTTGACTCTGAGTATACTTAACACCTCAGCCTTTCAAGTGGCTGTTTGCTCCACCGTGAGAATGATTCATCCTAGTGAGGCATTTCTGGATCCTAAAACGAACTTTCTAGAATGACTTAGAAGGCCAGCTGTTGTCATGGAGCCAAGGGATTGTAAGACTTAATAAAACACATTTAAGAGGCTTTAAAGGAAAAGGGAGAAGGGCCTTGAGGCCCACAGTGAACAATAGGGTCTGACCTAACTGTAAACACCGGATAAGGTGGGCGTGTGGAAGGGAAGGAGCATGACTCTGCGCCCCTGGATCTAAATGCCTGTGACTCCCCGAGGAGGAGGATTTAATCCAACCTTTTCCTGCCGATGCTTTATTTTCAGCATTTTCATTATCCTTTACTGGATATCTACCCATATAGTCATGGGGCCAAGCTGAAACCACATATTCATATGCTTTCTCTTACAATCTTCCCAACAACCCTGGGTGAGGATCTGTTGTTGTTGTTGTTGGTGTGTGAGTCAGAACCAACCCAAGGCTGACCCTCCAGCAGGTAAATCACATGGTAGGAGATGGTCCATCTGTTTTCCCATGGAGCACCTGGAGGATTCAAACTTCTTAAGGATCTACCATCTTATCATTCCCTGTAAAAACCAATTGCCATCGCGTCTACTCTGACCTATGACAACCCTTCATGTGTCAGAGCCGAACTGTGATCCACAGGGTTTTCCAGGTCAGGTCTTTCTTCTGAGGCGTCTCTGGCTGGACTTGAACCTCCAATTTCTCAGCAGCCAAATCTGTTAATAATTTGCACCACTAAGACTCCATTTGATGTTAGAGGTGAGGAAGATGACATTCAAAGGGCTAATAAGCAAGCTATGTGAGGTCATTGCATAAAGAATGACTAGCCTAGATTCAAATTTTGGTTGGTTTGCCTCCAAAATCCATGATTTTAATCTCTCAGTACAGCATCTTTGTACTCTGTAGACTGGAGATGTCAGCAGGGTGGGTTGAAGCCAGAAGCTCTGGGTCACTTCTCTCTCTCTGGCACTAACTTCCTGGGTAATGTTACGTGAGTTGTGTCAGGTTTCTTGGTCTCTGTTACTCAGGGCTGTGAAATAAGATAATGGATGTGAAAACACTTGGTATTCTTAGGTCTGTTTCCGTGAAGGAATTGGACTAGGGAAGAGGTTATAGAGAACTTTAGTGACCAGACGTGTGTGGTAACCTCAGTAAGATCCAACTCTGGAAGAGCTGTGAGAGAGGTGGCCATTTCCTGCTGGGGATATTTCCCTTTCTGTCCCTCAGAGTATAGATATACATGGTCTAGATCTTCCCAGGATATTAGGTCACTGAGTGCTAACTTCTGTCAAAGTCGCTTCTCCTCCACAGCTCACTGAGCTTCCCACCTTGCCTTTGGCTAGGGAAGGAATCCCAGGCAGGCCTGTCTGTAAACCTGTCCTCACAGCCTAGGCTAAGGCAGCAGATGGCCATCACTGGCTGGGCCAACTCGTGAGAAGGGACCTACTTTCAGCTACTACTTCTTCCTCAGTCTCCTCAGCACCATCATCAAATTCTCCTACTTCCACCTGGACAGGGTTGGCTCCCACAGGTACCTGAGGTGGAGAAAGAGAAAAGGGTGGATGAGTGCCCCTGCTATCCTGGATCTGGAGGAAAGGGGTGGAACTTGTACAGGGACAGAGAGATGTCCTACCTGGATCTTTAGGTGCCCACAGAGGGATAGGGAAAGGCAGGTTGGGACAGGTCAAAAAATCCAAATGGCAGCATCTGGGGCTCAGAATTTAAAGACCCACCTTATTTTGTATACTCTGCTGAGATACCTCACAGATCTCATGGGGTGTTAGTGCAGGAAGAGGTACCAAGCCCTCTACCCCTACCAGCCAATTAGAACAGTCTTCTCTCATTGGATATAGACATGGGGAGACTCTGGGTAAACATGTACAAAAAGCTGTGCCACAGCTTTTAAAATTTAAATATTCAAAGTAATGGCTTTGTGCTATAGCCTTTCATTAAAACTGAGGATGCTCAAAGAGCAATGATGTCAATCTGGAGACTAAGGTGCATCTGATTCAGGCCACGGTCTTTGCCATTACTGGCTATGCGTCAGAAAGCTGGACAATGACTAGGGATGATAGAAGGAGAACTGATGCCTTTGAGCTGTGATGCTGGAAAATAGTATTGAATATACTATGGACTGCTAGGAGAACAAACAAGTTCATCCTGGAGAGAGGAAGACTAGGCTGCTCCTTGGAGTCAAGGATTCTGAAGTTTCATCTGACATACTTTGGACATGTTGCAAGGAGAGACCAGGTCTTGGAGATGGAAGTCATGCTTGGGAGGGTGGAGAGACAGTACAAGAGAGGAAGACCCTTGATGAGATGGATTGATTCAGTGACGGGGGTAATAGGGGTTGGTGTGTGAGAGACAATAAGATTGGAACAAGATAGAGCAGGGTTTAGGGCTGTTGTACATACAGTCGCTATGAGTTGCAAATGATTCAACAGCACATAACAAAAACAACAACTACTAAGGGCAATGCTGAGATCTGAGGGATGTGGAGGACTTCCACATGTGCTTGTGTACACAAGGAAGGATACAACTGCCTCATTCTAGCAGCTAGACACACCACATCTGGGGCCTCCAGGTAGCAGTATAGACAGGGAGGAATTTTCCCCTCACGTACCTCTGTTCCCTCAGCCACGGTTTCCTCCACCACCTCCGTCTCATCAGGCAGGGCTTCCTGCTGTTGCTGCTGCTGCAAAGAAAAAATAGGGTTCAGAGAGGTCAGGGTCAAGTCCAGATTCATCTCTGAAATCCACCTGGCTTGGAATGTCAAACCTGGAAGAACATGGGGAGCAGCCGATATGGAGAGAGCAAGGCCGGCCCTCAGGGGCTGCACAGGTGGAAAAGAGGACCAAAGAGAACCCACACACCGGACCCCATAGGCACTAAAGCAGTTCCCTTTTGTATATCTTGTATCTGGGGCTTCCAGCTAAGATTTAGCTTGAAGAAACCTTTCTCACTCTTCTTTGAATAATTAATATCTGAAAATCGCTGATCCAGAACCACTACCCTCATTCTGCAAATAGGAAAACCAAGACTGATTGTGGGAATGGAACTATGAATTTTAACATTATCTTCCCCACAAATATGATCATATTATTACTATTACTATCATTATCATTTTATGTTCTTTTTAGGAGGCAATTCCTCTTTTCAGAAAAAGAAGTAAAGAGAATAAAAATAAGATAGTATATACAGCTTAAGGCTCCTGGGAGGATTGGGCTGTTTTTAAAATTATTACCAACTTTGTCAAATTTTTTGGCAGAATCTATTAGTCTCCTAAGGTCTACACAACCTATAAGTGAAGAAATACTCTGCTCTTAATGTCTGTACTTTGTTTCTTCTTCTCACTTCTAGAACATGTTCCCCTCCATATTAACACCCCTGGAAATCTGCATGCTAATCCTGAAGGGACTTTCTGTCAATCAAGTTGGTCCCACCTTTCCCTGGCTAAAAAGAAGTCTCAGGACAGAAGCTGAGCTAGGCTGGCTTTTCCTGATTTCTTAATCATGCACGTTATCTCAAGATTTGAAAATTGTTGGGATTAATCAATTTAACTGCCTCCCAGATCCTGGAATTGACTGTTGCTTTGGTTTGGGGTTGTGTTTTGTTTTTTTGTGTTCTTTTTTCAGTCCCTTCAGACTTGACTAGTGAAATATATCCCTGTATCTTTTCAATCCCTTGTTCACTCAGAGTACGTTTGTTGCTTACAATCAAAAGCACTAATTAATTTAGAAACTAATCCATCTCCTTCTCTGTGCTTCACATCATTCTAACATCATGACAAAGAGATCACGTCTTCCTAAGCTATAGATTGTGAGCTCAGACACCCAGAAAGTTTATCTTCACATTACCCAGAAATCTCTGTCCTCTAGAACTGCTACCCAATAGACCTCAACCCAATTTCTTCTGGAGAGAAAAAAAAAGTATTAAAACATAAAAAGCAAAAATCACTTCAAGATCTAGAAGTTCCTGCGCCCTCTAAGTATCTAAAGCTGGCAAGGTCAGAAGTTCTGTCACTGATGGAAGACACAAGATTAAGAAGCTCTGATCATGAAGTACTTACTGGTGCTGCTAGGGCCCTTCCGGCCAGGCAAATGAGGAAGAAGATCCAGGCCCTCATGGTGCTGGCAACTCTGTGTGGATGAAAGGGATTGAGATTTCAGTGAATGGGAATTCCTGGATGGAGAGTTAATGCTGAATTCTTAGGACATGCAAGGTAATTTTAGATGGCATAAGGAATTTTGTTCAATGACAATGGGAGAAAATGGCTTCCATTCAATTCTCTTTCAATGCTGATTATATGAGAAGAAAGTCTCAGTGTGTCCCTAACACTCTAACACCCATCTGTCTCCTTTATATTAACAAAGAGAAAACAGGCTTTTCAAGTCCACAAGAAACTGTTCAGCTGCAATTCAATAAAGTTATTTTGTTTTCTTTATGTTTAATTTTACAGATTCCTTCTGTTAGCATATGTACACAGATCTTTTTCCCCTCGTTATGGTAATGATATAAAGTCTCCTTTTGGCATTTATTTAAAATTTTTAAAAGTGATTCAGTGAGCATAACTGGCTAATTAGCCTACTTTGAGCAATGCTAAAATGGACTATCTTCAGTTTAAATTGGTTCTTGCCATCAATGATCTTCTAGAAATTTCTTTTTGCTCTTCCTCAAACTCTGTTCCTCTTCCTCCCTCCTCCCAGCCTCCACTGGAGAAGTCAAGAGATGGGAATCTCTTGCCATTTTGAAACAATGAGATCTCCAAGACAAAATGATGAACAGTAACCTTGGAGTGTGGCCGTTGGAAACTTGATGACGGCATATTTTTCTGAATTCTATCAAGAAAGAACATTACTCTGGACCCTCAAGGGAAACTCTATATAAATGCCTGTAGGTGTTTCATGTTCTCTTTTCTTCCTTTTTCATATCTAAAAAGTGTTAACTGAGATCTAGAAAATTGTCCTGCCCTGACCACTGCTAAGACAGCCTCTGGATGTTATACTTTAGACTCTAATAAAATAATCTCAAATGATCCTAGGGGACAATTTTATCTTAAAAGTGCCAAAATACCATCCATATCAATGGATTTTAAGTGGGAAATTTTTATTTTATATTCTAACTAGATGGACTGCCTTTCCAAATTAACGGCCTTTGAAAGGTCTCTCTAAACCCATCTCACTCAAGCTTCTTCTTGCTCCCAGATTAAGGCTGTTCCTTCAACTCAATGACAGCCATTCAGTCATAAGGAGCAGTGGCCTTGTCTTCCCCCACTTTTATCCCAGAAAACATTCATCTCAGCGCATCAACTCCTAATTTTTTTTCTACATTTCTTAAGTCATCTGTCCCCTTGCTGGGTGACACCCTGGCAATATAAGACGAAACACTTGATATGATATTTCTATTCAAAGATTCTACCTCAATATCATCTTGCATTAGATTGGGAGTAAGTTCTTTGCCCTCACGAAACTATATTTACTCTACTCTATTCGCTAATTAAGTAGGTTAGACCACATGAACCTTGAGTCTCTTGCCTGGTAGATGAAGCTCTTAAAATATCCTTAAAATGGCACAGGCATAGTGATGACCTTAGTAGATGTCATCACCTTGGATATCATCATTAACACTGGATTATTATATTTGAAATCAAGAATGAGTAGAGTAAGAACAGACTTCATAACTGTTCTTTACTGGGCTAACGTAGTCTAAAAAATCTTATTCCCTACTTCACAGAGCCTGCTTGAAATAAAAAAGAACTTGACCTGAGAACTTGGCTTTGCTTAACAATGGTCTCAGCCTCCATAAGAGTCCAGCCATCTCTTTCCAGGCAGTTTCTAACATGCTCCTCTCCCTCACACAGTTCTATGTTTGCTCCCCAAGTTTAGAGGTGGAAAAATCTTCTTTGGAAGACTCAAGTTAAGCAACTTCTGCATGTGGCTTTGGACAACGAACCAGGAGAGAAAGCATCAATGAAGGACTTGTCTGAGGGTATTTGACGCTGAAGAGCCAACACAAGACTGGCAGCTGGGATAAAATTAAGTCATCCTGCCTGAGCTTTCAGAGAAGCCATGTCTTTGGAGAAACAACCAACTAGAACTGGAAATTTAATAAGCTTTGGGTCAGAAAGCCAGGAAGATTAATATTTCCTGAGTAAAGGAACCACACCTTTGACCAGGGAGAGGTTTTGTCAACTCCTTAATCTCTCCTCCTCGCCATCTTCCTGAACTTCATCCCTAGTGGAATATTCACCCTCTCTCTACCACCCTCATTCCTAGTAGTGTAGCCAAAGGGAAAAAGAATCCTTTAAGTCTTATAGTGTTTCTAAAACACTTTCACATGTATATTCTCCCTTTGGAGTCCCTGGATGACACACATAGTCACTCTGCTACCAATCAAAAAGGTGATTCAAATCTACCCCGAGGTACTTCAGAAGGCAGATTGGATGATCTGCCTCCAAAATATCACACCATTCAAAACCCTCTGCGGTGTTGCTCTACCTTACAACCCATGGCACTGCCGTTGAACTGATTCCATTGGATTGGACTCAACTCAAAAGCAACCTGTTTGGTTGGAAGTTCAAACAACACAGGAAGGCAGGGAGAAAGGTACAGAAGGACTGATTCTTAGTCTCATTTTCTAATGCAAAATCTGAGTTTATGAGGAAGGAAGCACAAAGGCACCCATCATCTCTATTCCTTGTTGACAAGTGTTCTCTCTCACGGAATTAGGATGAGCCAAGGAGGGATCATACAGTCTGGGATGAGGACTAGAAAGAAATGCAGCAGAGAATGTTAAAGACACAACAACATCATGAAGGAGTATTTTCTAAATTGGGGGTTCTCTGAGTGGCTGGGTCTAAAGTCCAAATCTCAGGGCACTTTCCCTCAGATATTGAAATGGGAGGGAAGGGAACAGCTGCTTTGTTCCTAACATGTGTAAACGTCTCTGCACACTCAAGACTTCCTTCTCTGAGGCTCTAGAAACACCATTAGCCAAAGAGGTTAGAGATCCATCCTGCGAAGAGAACTGCATAGAGCAGTAACTCCCATAGGACCAAACTTTAGCCCTCAAAACTTATCAGCTGTACACACATCCTTTGCCAATCAAGCCAAGGGCTAGCATGTCCATTGAAATACAAATACATTTTACATAAGTAGCTATTTTCTAACCAACTGACAAAATTACATTAAGTTTAAAACTCTTTATTTTGCTATCTGTGAGGTTCATGTATTTATCCTCCTCAAGGAGCTTTTATAATCCAGAATTCTATCTGGAGCTGAAAGTCTGTCCTTCTGCAGTATGGAACAAGTGGGAAGGCTGAGGCTCAGAGAGGGAAGAAATCTGCCCTGAACTCCAGCGAGTGTGCGGCAGGGCCAGTGTGAAGACCCCACTCTAAGGCCGATGTGCTCTCCACCATAGCGTAGTGTTTCCCTTGGCCTCCACTATCTCCTAGGTGGTCACCTGAATGGCAAACAGTCGTGCCATGAACTGGCTGAGGTGCTGGGAGGAGAAAGAGTCCGAGTCATGGGGGAGCAGGAGGTGTATTTCCCTTGGCTCTCTAGCCATCAGATGGAGACACCCCCAACCCAACTCCTCCGCCTCCTCTTGTTCCGTACATCCAGTCCCTTCCTTTTGCCTTTATTTTCTCTGGAGACTACTGAAAACCCGTCCTCGGCTGCCAGGAGGACCCGAAGTGGAGGTCATTTCTCTTAAGAAAAGCTCTGGGCATGGAAAAGTACAGCCGGTCCCCCAGCTCATCTCCTTTAAAATATGAAGGGCCTCCTTAGGGTCTACTCTGGACACCAAAATATCAGAACTGGAAGGAAATCAAGAATTACAGAATTCTGGACATTGGGTCTTGCAATCATAGATTCTCGGAATGCAAAAGAACAATTTTGGCAGCAGTCATCAAATCTGATCTGAGTAGAAAGAAAATGTATATGAAGCAATGTCGTTCAATAGAACTTTGAGGCAATAAAAATGTTCTCTCTGTTTGGCCCTTTATGGTAATGACCAGTCACATGAGGTTATATCGAGCATGGCTGCATCACTAGTACGTACAAAGAAGTAAATTTGAAATTTCATGTCCATGTGGCTACTAGCTACCACATAAGACAGAGCAGTTTTAAACTTTACAGAAGCAGTATAACATAAAGATAAGATTACGGACTCTGAGGAAGCTCTGGTGGCGTACTGGTAAGAAGCTGTGCTGCAATTCTAAAGGCATGAGGTTCAAATCCATCAGAAGCTCCTCAGCAGAAGAGCCGGTAGTTTCCATCCAAAGTAATTAACTGCCTCAGAAAACCTTCTGGAGGGTCAGCTATAGCTCACTCGAGGGCAGACAACAATAACAACAGCATTGTATACTTAATAGACTATAATAAACAACTTTAAAAAAAATTTTTAAAAAGAAAGATTATAAGCTTTGAAGCCAAAATATACAGGTTCAAATACTGGCTGGGCAACTTAGTACTTGTTTGGAAGAATGTCATAAAATGCAAGGATCCCAGAATCTCCATCTTCCTCTCCCAGTACAAGAATCTCAGCTTTCTGTCTGTAGACCCAGGGAGAAAAGGGGGGAGGGGAATTAGGGTGAAACAAAGAAGACATTGCTCTTCCTGGTCCAGAGACACAGTGATGAAGGCTGGGTCTCCAGCTGGCCTCTCACCGGGCTGCTGACGTAAGCTGAGTGTCTTACTCCACTGTTTGGCATGGAGACAAAAGGTTCCAAAAACATGTACTCCTGGTAAACAAGCCCAAAGAGAGAAAAACAAGTCAAGAGGCTAATACATCCCAGGGGCTGTCCCAGCAAAAGCTCGGACTTGGAAGAAGGCTAGGCAGGCTCCATGGAGGAAGAGGCTAAGCCCGGCAGAGAGGTGGCATTGCCTGGCTGGCACAGCCTCACCGACTCCTGCTCACACCAAGAGGATGGCCATAGGCACCTGGCAGTAGCACTAAAATTAAGTCTTGGCTGCTGCCTTGCCTTACTCTTCAACGGACAGATTAAAAAATAAACAAATGAATGTAAGGCAAATAAAAGTAGAGCTGAGACCTTGCTCACTTACTGCCACCAAGTCAGAATTGGTTCATAGCTGACGTCCAGGTTTCTGAGGTTGCCCATCTGGT